CCCTTCCAAGTGGATGGCAGTGGTAGCGGGGCACCATCTAGTTCTTCTGGTCTCATGGCAACCTGGCCTCTCTTAAGCATCACTTGTCCTCATCTGTAAGATGGGAATCAAACATCTCATAGGGCTGTGAAGGAGCTCTGGTGGTGCGGTGACTAAGGCATCTGACTGCTAACCAGAAACTTGGTGGGTCAAACCCACTAGCCACTTCACGGAAGGAAGATGAGGCAATCTACTTCCTTAAAGATCGACTGCCTTGGAAACCCAATGGGGGTCACAATGAGTTGGATTCCACTTGAGGGCAGTGAGTTTTTTGGTTTTATAGGGCTGCTGATGGCAGTAGCTGTCCTATAGTGGTGCACTAACAAGGGGCAGCTGGCATGGTTGGGCTCCTTCTCAGTGCCAGGCTAAGCCTGTGCTGTGTGCTGGGGACACGATGTGGGCAGGCAGAGTAAATGGGCCCACAGATGTCTGTGTCCTAATCCTGGGAACTTTTGAACACGTTACCTTACATGGCAAAAGGGATTCTGTAGTCGTGATTAAGGACCTTGAGATGGGGAGATTATCCTGAAGGCCGGGTGGGCTCAGTGTCATCTTTCAAAAGCATGGCTCCTTCAAAGCAAAAGGGGGAGGCGGCAGAGGAGGGCAGAGTGATGGGAAGTAAGAATGGCTCAACCTGGTGGCTTTGAACATGGAGGGACAGCCATGAGTCAAGGAATGCAGGTGGCCTCTAGAAGTGGGAAAAAGTAAGCGCATGGATTCTCCCCTAGAACCTCTGGAAGGACTGTAGCCTTGGTGATGAGCTGATGTTAGCCATGAGACTTATTTTGGACTTCTGAGCCACATAACTGTAGGATAATAAAACTTGTTTTAGGCCACTCAGTGTGATGCTGATTTGTTCAGTAGTGCCTACTAAGGCATATGACTACTAACCAGAAGGTTGGTGGTTCCAACCCACCAGCCACTCCAAGGAGGGATGATGGGGGCATCTACTTCCGTAAAGATTTACAGCCTTGGAAACCCAATGGGGGTCGCTACAAGTCAGACTCGACTCGATAGCAATGAGTTTGGTTTTTTTTAGAAGCAGACACAGACCTGGCTCGTGCCTTCAAGGAGCACATGGTTCTAGTGTAGAAGGCAGGTGTCTAAACAGGACATTAAGACCCAGTGGGATCAGAGGTACACTGGTGACTGTGTGTGTGTGGGGGGGGAAGGGGGTTGGGCACAGGAAGCACAGGAAGTGGGTTAACACTAGGGGTCAGGGAAGGCCCTGATACTGACACAGGAAGACAGAGGAGGAGTTACAAACAATAAAGAAGAGATGGGACTGTGGTGGGAGAGAGCATGCGGGGGATGTCCATACATTCGTCCCTGCCACAGCTAGGCACTATGCTAGGTGTTGATGAAACATGAGTGGGGGAGACAAATAATAAAACACGAATAAATAAATGTATAATATAATCTCAGGTGGGCATGAATGCTATGAGAAAACAAACTTCAGGCTAAGTGGAGAATGCGTAACACCTGAACGGAATAAGCACCCTGTGCATTTCCAGGGAAGTGGTTCTTCAGAGGGAACTCTAAACCCAAAACCAAATCCAATGCCACTGAGCCGATTCTGACTCATAGTGACCCTAGAGAACAGAGAAGGATTGCCCCATAGAGTTTCTACTGTAATCTTTACAGTAGCAGACTGCTACATCTTTCTCCCAGGAAGTGGCTGGTGGGTTCAAACCAGTGACCTTCTGGTTCGCAGCTGAGTTGCCTAACTACTATGGCACAAGGGCTTTTTCCAGAGGGAACAGTAAGTGCAAATTCTAGGACTGAAAGACTTCCAGGCTGGCTGTAGAGGGGTTTCACTTAGTCACCTTCTAAGGGTCTTGGAAGGAGCTCTGGTGGTGCAGTGCCAAAGGCATTTGACTGCTAACCAGAAGGCTGGTGGTTCAAACCCACCAGCCACTCCATGGAAGGAAGATGAGCAATCTCCTTCCTTCAATGTTTACCCCCTTGGAAACCCAATGGGCGTCGCTATGAGTCAGAATGAACTCAGTGGCAGTGGGAAGGGCCTTGAGGAAGGGGCCTGGTGGCCTAACCTGTCTCATGGTTTCCCCCTGATCTGAGGTTCCTGCCAGGCATTCCTAAATATCCCCTCTCAGGGAGGGGCTGGCCTTTCTCCTGGCTCAGTGCCAGTTCAGTTGAGGCCCTTTGGGCAGACATGATATGTCTAGTCCCACTGCTACTGGCTGTCACAGACAGAAGGGACCAAACACCAACTGAGAGTGTGGTGGTCACACAGCTGGGCCCTGGGACCAGGCTGCCTGGTGTGAATTCCTGCTCTGTTTCTTTTTAAGTACCTTGAACAGACTACTTAACCCTCTCGTGTCTCAATTTTGTCCTCTGTAAAATTGGCCCAGTAGTAGCATCTGCCCAAGGAGTTCTGGTGGCTCTGTGGTTAAGGCATTGGGCTGCTAACTAAAAGGTCGGTGGTTCGAACCCACCAGCTGTTCCGTGGGAGAATTTACAGCCTTGGAAACCCCATGGGAGTGACTGTGAGTTGGAGCTGACTTGATGGGAGGGGATTTGGTTTCTTGGTTAAGAAAAGAAACTAAAGCATTTAACACAGTTCCTGCGCCATTGCAAGCGCTACTTTTATAAGTATCATTTTAAATTATCTACTCCACGCCCTGTCTGGCTCGTGTGGCACCAGAGGCCCAGAGAGGCCCAGCCACCTGCTCAAGGTCACACAGTAAATGCTGAGCTGGGCAGTGTGGAAACAGTCTCATCCGGTGCGCAGCCAGACCACCCTTCCCCAGAGCCTTCCCTGTCGGTCTCCCCGGGGCCTCACCTGGATCGTGGCCACGAGGCTCTGCACCTTAGCGGGGTCCAGCACAGACGGCAGCGGCCGGATGAGCACGTTCAGCGGCACATTGTGTACCGCTGTGATGCAGCCCGAATGGATGCTACCGCCCTGAGCGCCGCCACTCGTCCCGGGTCCCTCTGGCGCCCCCCTGTCGGCCCCGGCCCTACCCAACGCTCCCCCAGCACGCAGCCCCATAGCGTCGCCGTTGCTGTCGCTGCGGGATGCGTCTCCTCCTCGGGACGTTAACTCCGGCCGGGCTGTACCATTCCACGCGGGCAGCGGGGGTTCAGAGGGAGCGCGTCTTCTCCTCTCCCCACCTTGCCTCACTGCAGTGGCCGGGCCCCACCCGCCCTGTTCTCCTCGCGGCACTCTTTCTGCTCCGGGGAAGTTAATAGACCCGGCGCCGGGCGCCAGCTCTCCGCCGGGGGGCGCCCCACCGCTTCCCCTTCGCCATGCGGCCTCTCGGGAGTGGAAGCGCCCGGGCGGGCTGACTCAGGGTGAGTTTGCAGGTCGTGGGGCGGAAGGGGCGCGGGTGACGCACAGTCCGGGGTGACTCAAGCCTGCGGGAGGGGGGTCGGCGGCGGGACCTGCGGAGCCAAGATGAGTCGGCAAAACTGCCTTGACTGCCCCACCGTCGGAGCCAGAGCACTAATACCATCCATTGAGGTAATAATAACAACAACTGTAATTATATGAATCTGGTGCGGAGGACTGTGACACTCATTCCCTGTTCCAAATATATTTGATATATATATAAAACCCAAACTCACTGTCCTCGAGTGGATTCCTACTCAAAGCGACCCCTCCTTGGGTTGCCAAGGCGGTATCTCTACAGAAGTAGATTGCCCAATCTTCCTTCCGAGGAGTGGCTGGTGGGTTTGAACCGCCAGCCTTCTAGTTAGAGTCAAATGCCTTAGGCACTACCAGAACATGAATTTATTTAAATCTCAGAACAACCCTGCAAAGTAGGCATGATTATTATTTCTGCTTTATGGAAGAGGGAACTGAGGCACAGAGAGACTTGCCCCAGGTCACGAGCTAATAAGTGGCCGAGCCAGGGTTCAAGTCCAGGCAGCCCGGCCCCAGAATCCAGGCGCTCTGGCGCACCCGTCGCTGCCTCTTGCAGCAACAGCCACGATGATCACAAGAAGCCTTAGGGAGTTGTGGTGACCCTGTGTAGGCATTGCCCTGGAGTCCCACACTGACTGCCTCATGGCTTCCTCCCAGCACTACTAGGAAGTAGGTGTGGTCACTGAACTAAGGTTGGGAGAGGCTAGGTCACCTGTCCAAGGCAGGGCAGCTGAAAATGAAGGTCATCTGAGTCCAGAGCCTAGACCAACCCCTTGCCACCATCTTGCTGATGTGACCCTGAGGCTGTGGATGGGGTGGTAGGACTAAGTTCCAGAGGCACTGACTGCCAGCTCCACTCTTCCTCTCAAAGCCTTCTGTCTCCTGGGCTCACTCAGGTTCAACACCCAGTGGGGCTGTGCGGGAGGTAGGCAGAGGTACTTACCAGCATCTTTAAGAGCTCTGGTGGCACAGTGCCTAAGGCATTTGACTGCTAACCAGGAGGTTAGTGAATCAAACCCACTAGTCACTCCATGGAGGGAAGACTAGGCAATCTACTTCCATAAAGACTTACTGCCTTGGAAACCCAATGGGGATCACTATGAGTCGAAATCAAATCCATGACGGGTTTGGTTTTGGTTTTTGGATCACCATCTGGTGGCATACTGCCTAAGGCATTTGACTGCTAACCAGAAGGCTGGCAGTTCAAACCCACCTGCCACTCCTCGGAAGGAAGGTTAGGCAGTCTACTTCCGTAGTGATACTGCCTCGAAAATCCAAGGAAAGGTTGCTATGAATTGGATCTGACTCAACGTCAGTGGGTATCATTGGCACAGGTCAGCCTGGGTTCAGATCCCATCTGGTGACTCCCTTGCTGTGTGATCTCAGGCAAGTTGCAAAACCTCTCTGAGCCCCATTTCTCTTTTGTAAACAGTGTTGGGGA